AATTAGAAGATTTAACATTAGAAGAGATAACAACTGAATATATAATTGAAAAAGAAGTAACAACAGGAAAACATATATATAAAAAAAATAGATATATAAACTTTAGTAAAGAAAAAGATCCAGAAAAGTGGGCATTTGAAAGATTAATCTTACATAAAAAATTTAGAAAAAGAAGAAGATCTTAAAGAAATGTACAAAACATATATGAATGCATATGAAGCAAATATGGAACAAATAAATGAAAAACAACATCAATACATATATAAAAAAGTAACAAATGAGAGTGAATTTAATTGAGAGAATAAAGAACAAGAAGCAAATAAAATTATTAAAAGAACAAGCACAGTATATACAACAAATAAACACAAACCAAACAGATGAATTTGATATAGGGAAAGATTTATTAAAATTGAAAATTAACAAAAACTTAAATTTAAATATAAAAGTTAAAATTTTAACAAATACAACAATTATAATACAAGATGAATACCTTATGGAAACTAGTAAATATCACCAATTATTAAGAACTTTTAATAAAAAGCAAAGAATAATACATGATGACTTCATATTGAAAAAAATAAAACAACCTAACTGCTTATTTTCAACAGGAGGAGCAGGAACTGGAAAATCAATGCTTTTAAATACACTTATAGAAACACTCAAATGATATTATAAAACAAACCAAGATATAAATAATGAACCAGGACAAACAATATTAATAACAACACTTATAGGAAAAGCAGCTTGTAATATAAATGGTTTAACAATACATTCAGCTTTTGCATTTCGACCAGAAGCATCAAAACAACGTCAAACAATATTAACAAATGACACATTAGATAAATATAAAAGAAAGTTTTCAACAATAAAATGTTTAGTAATAGATGAAATATCAATGGTAAGTATAGAAATGCTACAAGATATAAATAGAAGATGTGAAAGCTTCAAAACAACATATGGAATAGACTTTGGTGGGATGGATTGTATATTTACAAGTGATTTCTATCAATTAAATCTTACATTTGAGGCACCAATTTATTCAACAAAAACATATAGACCTGAAAATGATGTCTCCATACACCACCCATGGAAAAATAATTTTAAAATCTATGAACTTACTGAAATAATGAGGCAAAAAGATGATATAATCTTTATAAAAGCTTTAAATAAAATACAAATAGGAGAACAAACAGATAAAGAGCTAGAATATAGAAATAAACAAGTCACCACAGATACATATAACACAGAATACTATTCTAAATTTGCAACTAATGAACAAGTAAGAGAACATAATGAAAAAATAATACAACACATACAAGGTAAAGATATAATTATAAAAGCACAAGACAAACATGGAAATTCCTGTCCTACACATTTCACGCTGCCAGATGACACAAGAAAAACACAAGGACTACATAAAATATTACATTTGAAAAAGAAAATGGCAATTGAAATAACACAAAATATAGCAACAGAAGATGGACTAGTAAATGGAGCAAATGGAGTATTACAAGATGTAACCCATATTGAAGAAGAACAAATAATGTGGATAGAATTCCCAAATATAAAAACAGATGAAAAAACAAGAGCTAAAGAAAATATAACAATAAAGCAAAATAATGGAAAAAACTGGACACCAATAAAAAAAATAACAAGAACAATAAATATTACTAAAAATAAAAACTATGTTATAAGTAGAACCCAATTTCCAATACAACCATGTGCAGGAAGAACAATACATAGAGCACAAGGATCAACAGTTATGCAATTAGAATATAACCCATATAAAACAAAATATCCAGGATAAGCATATACCGCATTATCAAGAGCACAAACACTAAAAGGGATACATTTATATAGACCAATTGAACATAAACATATTAAAATCAATAAAGATGCAGCTAAAGAAATAATAAGAATGACAACAGAAGCACCATAGCAAATTGATTTAATAAATTTACAAGAAGAAAAAAAAGCTAACCAAACAATTATACAAGTTCTAAATACAAGATCTATTACTGCACATCAAGAAGATATAAAGAGTGATTCACAATTATTAACATCAGATATAATATGTATGCAAGAAGTAAGAACACAAAAACATGAGGATTTATATTTTAATAAATATAAATCATATATACATGAACAACCCCCACATATAGCAATATTGCATACAAATGACTACAAATCAGAAATAGTAGAACATTTAAAAACAGAAACAATGGCAATGTCATATGTATCACTAAAAAAAAATAAAAAGCAATTACAGATAATAAATTTACATAGAAAACCTGGAACAAATATACATATATTCATAAAACAACTACAAAAATATATACAGAAAAAAGATAATAAAAAACCAGTAATAATTACAGGAGATTTTAATATTGACTACCAAATAGAAGAAGTAAAACCACTTCAAACAATAATGGAGAAAGAAGGATATATACAAATAATAAAACACAATACACGTAATAATAAATTAATAGATCATATATGGATAAAAGATATAATATATACAAAAGCAGGAATAGCACCTGCATATTGGACAGATCATAGCAAATTATATATCATAATAAAAAATATTTAAAAACAAAAGCAAACCAAGCGTTGCTACAATGCAATGCGCAGCAATTTATTAGCACTAGAGCAAGATATATAAACATTGTAATAAAGCAAACTAAATGTTGCTACTAAATGTAGCAAATTATTTATTACTAGATGTTACATTTCTTTTCCATATGCGCTAAATTATCTTTCTCTATCCAGGATTCTAATACTGTTTACAAGTGCCCGACCGTTGGGTTTAAATGTGCTATATTAAATTGTGTTACAAACCTAGTTGATAAATTTAATACATCAACCCAACATTTAGCATCAGTTCCTGAATTTTCATGTGATACTATTTTCTGAAAGACAATAACCTCTTATGTAAAATTCATTTATATTACACTTTTCAAAGTCAAATGTGATTATTGTACTCTCTTCATTTTATGGAGTCACTATTACTTATAATTTAAATAATAAAAAGCATAATGCAACAGTACCTACTAAGTGACCTGCTAAGTGAACCACAAATGGTTTTAATTGTTATTTTATAATAACACTAATCAATAATAAGTTAGATTTTTAAAAATTTAAAAATAAACTTACCAGATCATTCTGATTTTTTAACACAATAAATAAGATATAAATTTAGAAGATTATAGTTTTCATTATAAATATTTCTAGCATTTCTTAATTATCTTTTATAGAAAATACTTTTTAAAGTTATTACATTGAATTTGTCATCACTATAATTTTATTTGCAAAACATATAGTTCATCCAAATTCAAAAAGAACTTCTTTTCAAACTTAAAAAAATATTTACTATTGAAACTTTAATAAATATTAATAAAAACATCATTAAATATTTTTCATGTGAAGTACATAATAAAGATGTATGACTGTGACTATAATTTGTTTTGATTTTATTTTCTTCCTAGCATTCAAATGGTAAACCAGTGGTAAGCGAGATGGTTGCAGTGTTGAAGCAAGAAATTGTTCGTGCCTTTCGTTGAGAACTTAGACCTGATGTCCTCCAGAGACACTAGTTGCATGCTGCCGTAAGTCTGGACGAGATCTCGAGTGACGCTTGAATAAGGTGCATCCTGCCTCTAGTATGTACTTTCTCAAGCGCTCCATCATTGCGAGCTGGAGCTGGTGTGATGTCACAAGACCCTGTCACAGACCATGTTGGGGAGAAAAAATACTCTCCCTTGAAGATCGATCGTTGCCCTTCATTTCACGATGGTTAAACGTACGTGTTTTTAATGATGAAACCAACTCAATATGGCATGAATAGCCACATGGATTTTGCAACCATTAAAAAATGGTTGGCTGGCATGTGTTTCCGAGAACACGTCATGGGAAAAAAAGATCATGGTCTGGAATATTCACAAGATGCCAAGTCAGTCAGGGCTCTAGACCCTTGCGCTTCTGTTTCTTTCCTTGGCGAGAACTAAATGGCTAACTCGCTGCGGTGTGTGGTGTGTGCATGTGCTTTTAGCATAATTCCTTGCATACACATCTAACATGGCAGTACACGTCACCATGTCCGTCTCAGGCATGCCGTCAAACATTTTCTTTGCTTCCTCCAAATGCCCGTGCTGGGCATACACGACCAGCATGGACGTCCACGACAGCAAATCCCTCTCCGGCATGGCGCTAAAAACCGACGTGGCATTTTCCAGCTCACCATTCCATGCCAACGCTGAATCGTGTCCACGTCCCTCTCCTCAAACTGGAAACATAGCTTCATCGCCTAGTGCCAAAATGCCCATTTCGGGCATATGCTTCGAGTAGCGCGTCGTTGAGAGCTAAGAGGTCGTGAATAGGTATGGAATCAAACACCACTGCCTTGGCCTCTCGCATATATCAACTCTTGGCAAGGGCGACGCAATCTTCCACGATATCACATTTCTCTGCGGCATCTCATCGATCATCGCTTTGGCCTGGGCGAGATCGCAGTTTGGGTAGAGGGAGAGCATCAAAGTTCCACGAGACGAGGCACTTCCCGGGCATCCGATCAAAGAGCTCCTTCGAATCCTCCATGCCAGACGAATGCCGCCAGCGCATGCTGGGCATCTAGATCGCGTGCGCGAGCTGTTTGACACCGCGATGTCATCGGCCATGCGCCTGGTGCGCATGGAATCGAAGATCTTGGCCGCGTCGAGGAGGCGATTGGCACGGAAGTAGGCAGTGAGCGAGATCCAGGTAGGAATCGTGGCGTGGAATCGAGATTCGCGAGTGTTGCAAGATTGAATGAGTCTGTGGCACAATTTGACTATCTTTATTTACAGTTTGACTTTTTCAACGAGTTTTTGACCACCTACGAGAGTCTACTTTGATGATCTCTTCTGTGATCTTGGATGATGATTTGAGGAACTGCGCATAATCTTCATACATATCGGAATTTGAATCGTAATCACAATTGGCATCAAAGCTCTCGATCGTCGCCATTAGTCTTTGGATCGCTTCTTTGCATTTAGAGAATTTGTCATCGTCCATTTGAAGAGAAGACATCGCCAACCCTAGCCAAGAACCCTAAAACAAGAGATATATAGAGTTCACGTCCCTTTTCGTGGAACACAACCAACGGCTGGGATTAAAAGCTTTGGGAAAAAAGGTTTTGTCATCACTGTCTGGGGGCGATTTTATTTTTGACGCTTGTAGATTTTGGAAAGGAAGAGCTTCAAAACTTGCTGCAATGGAAACGAAACGAATGAGAGGGATTGGAGTGTCCAATGTAAGTTACCTGTAGCTCAATGCTTTTTTCTTCGTTGATTATCGACATGAAGTTCTCATAGCTCTCGCTTTCATAATCGAGGAAAAGTTTCTGCAGCACAACGAGAAAAAGGCTTACTCGAGGTCAGTCACAGAGCGAAAGAGTTCTTCTCTAGCCCCGTTTCTAGCCTGGACGAGACCAAGAAGCTTATCCAGGCCTCAAACGAGGGGCATTCACTGTCGCATTCCAATACAATCTTGTCAAGAGTTGGCATCCATCACAAGGAAAAGCACTCAAGAACAGGAATGCTAAAACAGCAAGAAACTCGTTCTTACCTCGAGGTTTAATTCATTGTACACCTTCTTCACCTCCGCGACGCACGCTGGATCTTTGCGTCCATAGTTATTGTAAAGTCGGGATTTCTGCTCGGGGCTTGCACGAGCTATCGCTTGTACAATAAGCCACGAGCATTTGGTATCCTCGATATCGGTTCCAACCTGAATATCCCAAGGATTATTAGTAGGACCAAAGAAGAGACCAAAGCTTTAGCACCAAGGAAAACGCAAATCACTATGCCCCGGGGAATGGTTTCTCCTGCAAAAACGAAGGTCAATCGCAAGAGAACTTACTTTTCCAATAACGTCGGGATGGCCGTAGCAATCTAAATAATCATCCTGGTAAACGAATTTCTGTCAGTAAGGATTGGAAAACAAAGCTGTATGCACACCTGTATTTGAAAGTAAGTTCCCATCTGCACAAGGATTCTCTCGGCAGATTCAAATTTGGATTTATCATCTTCTCCAGACATGTACAGAGCACATGCAACCTGTGAAGCACCAGAAACACAGTCAAGCTGTCATAGAACAAGGTTACAATACTTACTGGAAGATAGAAAGAATAATATGCTGTCTTGTATTTTACAATTCTTAAATAGCTGCATGGAAAACAAAGTCAAGACAAAGGTTTGAGAAATGAGATTTCTTACGTGTCCATTACGTATTTGGACAAATCGACTTCGCCGGGTGGAGTTGTAATAAGATCGAGCATCTGTCCACAGGCAGTCTGATACTCCACCTGACATTTAAAGAAAACTAATTAGAATTCCTCCCAGAGTAAACAGATAATAATACCTCATCAAATAGCTCTCGCAGATCCTGGTAGTAAGGCTTGTCATGGAAATGCCGTTTTAAAATACGGGATATGTGATTCCGGAGAAGAATGCCATCGTTTGCAGCAATTAAGCCAACCTGTCCAGAAGGAAAAAGAATTCAAAGATGAGAACTGAAAAGAGCTACCTTTGGCTGTCTAAACCAACAAGGCTGACCCCTTCTCGTGTGTGAATCATCCATGATATCATCTAAGATTAGGAAATACGCTTGGAGCTGTGCAAGCAAATGTTAAAACTCGTTTCTAACACGTCTCTACAGAAGAACGCCTACCCATTCGATGCACCATCCAAGAGCAAACGCAAGGAAAAGCTCGTCTTCGCTGAGCTCCTCGCCAGATCTGAGCAACACCAAGCTATCCACCACGGAGAGCCCCCGATTCAGCTTCCCTGCCAGCAAAAGCTCCAGAGATTCGCTTCCAAATCCAATAACAAAGAGAGATTTGAGACCAAAACAAACCTCCTGGAACATTATAGTCGAGCATCTGGTACAAAGACACGGCTATGTGAGTCTGGCATTGGGAAAAAGAGATCAAGCACCTCGGACACCCATTCTCTCGACTCGAAAGTGTGGGAAAAGCTCTCGGAGTCGGCGATGAGCTCCTTCTTGAGCCGGTGATAAGCATCCATAAACTTGGCCTTGAACGATCCCGCCACCGGCTTGGCGGAGATCTTGATGTCATTGAGCAGCGGACCTGCTGGATGGATCGAGTGAGCGCCCAGATCGAATGTAGGATCCACTCTTACCGGCAGTCGCCATAGCTCTGCTCTCGAAATATTTTTCTCCGAGCCTTAGGTTAAATCCTTTTACTCCAAGATGGTATATTCTTGTATTCTTTTTTCTTTCTACACTCGACGCGGCGCTACCAATCTTACACAAAAATTACACTGCCCTCGCACTCTCTCGCCATGGAAATCGATCGATCGATCGCTCGCTCGCGCTTACTTCTTCGTCGTCCTCTTGCTGTACTGCTCCTTGACCCACTTAAACCCTGTCACGGCCCCGGATTTCACCTTAAGCGCTCCAATCTTGGCCTTGGAAGCCCCAATCCCAGCCGCGACGCGCGCCTTCTCCGCCCCGGCCGACGCTACCACCTTGGCCTTGGCCATGGCGTCCTCGATCTTCTTCCCGCCGCCGCTCTTGGAGGAGGATTTCTTGGGCCCCGACGATCCGAATTGCCCGCCGCCGGCATTGCCGCCAGCGCCGACGCCATCACTGCTGCGCGATCCGCCCCACTGCTCGGACCAGCTCAGCCCGCCGTTCGACCTCGCCATTCGCTCCTTCCTCCCTCCCTGCCCTAATCGCTCGATCCAATGCCACAAAATCAACGGCCCTGATTGGCCGTGCTAGAACAGGCATATTCTGTCATAGATGCTTGAGTTATTCTGTCAGTTTGAGCTAGCGTTTTTCTAGGGTTAGGGTTCATAGAGGGCACGTTCGTTGGCAGTTCCGTGTCCGTCGATCCGACCGACATCCTCTCTGTGCTGCCGCATTCTCGGCCAGCGCGAAGCCCCAGCAATCGCTGGTCCTCCTGTCAATACATCCCTCGGTAGGATTTCGTCCTCGCAGGTTCGTCTAGATCCCGTCCAGCAGCTCACACAGTCGTTTAGATTAGAAATCGGTAGCTAGCAGGAAAAAAAGAAGAAAAAGAGAGAGGGCGAGAGAATTTGACTGCTCGAAGAGAGGAAGATCTCCTTTTTTTTTTGAGAGAGAGGAGAAAAAGATTAAAAAGAGAGAGAGAGAAGATCTTAGTCGCTAGAGGATAGGAGCATAACTGGATGGATTTTGGGAACCAGGCAGTGGGCGAAGATGAATCGCCCGGCAAGCTGAGGCAGTGGAAGAGCACAGACGATTCCATCTGGGTGTCACTGGATTTTCCCAGGGTGTGCGTGGAGACTTTGTTCGCTGCCAACGCCGCCAAGAACAGCGAGTGCGAGAGCATGGATCCCGTGTTTCGATCCGACATGTTCTCGTGCCTCTTGGAGAATGCGAGGCGGAAGCTGGAAGAGGCCATCACCGGGAGCTGTAAGAAGCCATGCTGTGTGGACTCGAGGAAGGAACAGGCCAAGCGAGAGCTGGAGGCGATCCAGCAGGGTGGTGGCTACTGGGACGCCACCATGTCCGGCCTGGGATTCAAAGGTTTCAGCCAGGAGCTGAGAATGCTCGAGGAGGACGCGGATAAAGCTGGGTTTTTTGACAAGAAGGTCGGTGAGGCTGAGGCAACAGGACCATCGTACTTCACCCAGGGGACATCGTCTTTGTGGAGCACGGATGGTTTTGGAAAGGAGGGTCCTTTCGAATGCTCCGTGCCGACTTCTCCACACGAAGGTTTATTCTACGTGCTGCCATACTTGCTGCTCAAGGACCTCCTGTCCGTGGAGCAAGTCTGCCGGTCCCTGAAAGACGCGGTGTCTTGCGACGTGCTGCTGTGGCAGCACCTCAAGATCGATCACTCGCTCAGCACAAAGTTGACGGACGAGGCTCTGCTCAAGCTCGCGGCCAGGAGCCAGGGACGGCTCCAGAGTCTCATGCTCGTCGAGTGTTTGAGGATCTCGGACGAGGCTGTCGAGCAAGTGGTGGCGTCCAATCCCATGCTCTCGAGGGTGAGTCTCATACTTTCTTCAGAGTTTTCTAGCTTAGGTGACACTTCTTTTTTTTCCAGATTCTTCTCCCTGGCTGCATCAGGATCAGCGTGGACGCTGTCGTCAGGATGGTGGAGTTTCTCGAGCGGGGAAGATCCCAGGGGTTGGGGGTGAAGCAGATCAAGATCCGTGGTCTCTCCGGTGTGACAAAGGACAACCTTGAGCGGCTACAAATGCTACTTGGTGTCGACGAGTCGCAGCTGCAGCAGCAGTTACTGAAACCACACTACTACTTGTGTGGCGACGCCACCACGAGCTTCGTAGACGAGCGAGCTATCGACGTCGAGGCGTGCCCGAGGTGCAAGCAGCCGAGAGCCGTGTTCGACTGCACGAGGGACAAGTGCCGCGATTGGAAGGCACTTAAGATTCCGCAGTGCCGGGGCTGTATCTTTTGCATCTCCCGCTGCGAAGACTGCGGGATGTGCATAGATGACACGGACTACGAGGAAACCTTCTGCCTGCGGCTGCTTTGCTCCGACTGCTGGCTTCGCCTCCCAAAGTGCCTCGAGTGCAACAGGCCCGGGTGTGAGAGCAGCTCCGACTACTTCATCCGGAGGCCGGACGCCATCTTCGTGTGTCCGGATTGCCAGGGTGCTTACAAGAACGGTGCAGGTCTGGAATTCTACGTGATATGATTCACCGGTTTTGGATTTTTGGATTGGAAGAGCAGACAGGAGAGACAACATATATATACTTATCGCCCCGACGTTGGTACAGATGTAGAGCGTTTTCGCGACAGTAGGAGGTGTGGAGTAGCAGATTTTCCGAAGGCGATTTTTATTGAGGATGGCAGTAGCACCACTTCTGTGAATTTTCGGTACGTTTTGAGTTTGATTTTCCCTCTTTTTCTTTGATTTGGGAGCGTGATTTACTTTTGTGTTTTGCAGCTTCTCTCGGCGTGTTTCAAAAATAAGACCACGGAGAGAGGTGCACTGAAAGTTTCTTTCTCTTATCAGGCACGGCATTGCTCTCATCTCTCTCCGATCGTTGTCCGAGATCGAACGGTAGAGATGGGTATGCAACGCATCGATGCCAAGTGTCATCACAGAGCTTTAGGTAGGCAAGAGTGAGAGGAGTGCTGCTGGCTGGCTGGTCGGTTGGCTGTCTGGCTATGGCTCTCGAGTGTAGCACCAGCTTCACCGCCGCTTGTGGCTGCGCTAGCTGCTGCGCGGCACGACGACTCTCCACCTCGAATTTTGTAGCTTCCATCTTTCGGTCTTCGTTTCACCTTGAGAAATGGCGCAGGTCGATCACTT